AAAAACAAAACCCCGGGTAATACAAAAACATGATTTTTGTCATAAGTAACAAATGTTTAAATCTTCAAAATATGATATATTTGAACTTTGTTTACGCCGGGCCCAAGCTTGTATGGAACGAAGTTCATCTCTTTTGACACATACTTGACCAAGGTTATTAACTTTCTTCTGCGTAGCATTGAAAGGAAGTTAATGGTTTTAGCTGGCAGTCTGTTAGTCTGTATGCCGACACGATAACTTCCGTTCCACTGGACCGATTGACTTTAAATTTGGTATGTGGATACCTTGAGTTAGTAGCTCGGTCGAGTTTGAATTTGGGTCTTGTAGGTCAAAGGACACCAGAGATATGGGATTCACGCAGAAGGAAGTTGTTTTTCTTGAATTTACATTTAACTCGTTATTTTTATAATCACAGATTTTTATTACAATATTTTGTGTGGCTAAAAGTACGTAGGATTGAAGTTGAAAAATTGTCGAAATTGTTTATGTCAAAAGTTACGTATATTTATCTTATTTTATTTTATTATTTAGAGGCCAATTCTGGCTTACAAATTTCTTATTATTATTATACTCATATTTTTTGATTTCAGACATAATACTCATTTATACAGGAAAGTATTTCTGCTGCGTCGTTATCAACTGTCAAAGCATAACGACTACTTACAATTTTTATCAATATGGAATAAATCCAGGGAAGTAATGTAATAAGATGCGGTGTACAGCATATTTCAAGTCAATATTAAGCTATGTAATATAAAGAATTTAGAGTGCTGTAGACATCTGTTTAAATTTTAATGAATATCTCCGCTCCCCTATAATCGCAGCCCGATTACCTACAGTGTCAAAATTGTACCGACGGTAGGCTGTTTAAAGGTAAAAGGGGATTAAATAAACATATCACACATCATTTAGATGCCAAAGTAAAAGTGTTTCGGCTTCTTAGCCTATCGTAGAAATTTATAACTCTATTAGTAATTCCTCTAATCACACAAAAATTTCCTTTTTTTGGAGAAAATTTACAATTATCATCGTAATGTACGAGTGGTTAAAAGAATTCCTACAAGTGGGACGATGCAGCTTAATAAGGCATTGTCATGCCCTATTCAAAATTGTTTCACTAATGGTGAAAAGAGTTGGCAAAAATAATTTACTTTCGCGTATTCCCATTTTCATTTTGATAAAACAATAAATAAATCAATTACGTCTCAACTAAAAGACATATTTTCAAAATTTAGATTACCCAATTAATACTTATTTGTCTCGACCACGTCCATAAATTTGATTTAAAAAAAATAGTTGAGTTTTTTACTATCGTATATAATAAAATATTGTATATTATGTTATGTTACAAATATATATATATATATATATATTCTTATACGTACCGATGTGAAGTGTATGTCATCCCCCAATGTTGAAGGAAGTCAATGGATGCTGGTGGCTCACCACCGTGCTTTGTGTCATTCCTTGAGGGAGTCCTATGTTCAGCAGTGGACTTGTGAATGGCTGTATTGATGATGATGATGGTGATACGTCTTGGGTTTTATGGAGTGATCTGAATGTGTACTTCGGTGAATGCTACTGGAACTCCTCGAAGAGTAGAACTGTGTGCCAAGTTTGACCTCGTTTTCTTAGCTATGATGAGGTCTTACCTCCGGACTTTATAGAATGACCTAAAAGTGTACTTTGGTGAATGCTACTGGAACTTCTCGAAGAGTAGAATTAAGTGTGCCGAGTTTGGCCTCTTTTTGTTAGTTATGATGAGAACTTACCTCCGGACTTGATAGAATGACCTGAAAGTGTACTTCGGTGAATGCTACTGGAATTCCTCGAAGAGTAGAACTAGATGTGCTGAGTTTAGCCTCGTTTTGCTAGTTATGATGAGAGAATTCTCCGAAGTGTAGAATTATGTTTGCGGAGTTTGGCCACGTTATGTTAGTTATGATGAGACCTTACCTCCGGAATTGATAGAGTAACCTGAAGGTGTACTTCGCGGTGAATCCTACTGGAACTTGACGAATAGAATTTTCCATATTAGCAACTTATGATACCGTAAATCGAAATGGGGAGATAGATTTTTACGCAGCCACAGTGAGATATAAATATTAAATCATTAATAACATTATAAATAGCTTTTTTACTAAACAATACAAATGCCTTTATTATAAGAATTGAGATGTACAAAGAAAGTTAATACAAATTAGCATTGCGAAAACATTACCTTTCATTCTAACGTTTGGAATTTTGACAGCTGCAACAAGAAATATAGGCATAACAAGCTTGTCTGAGATCATTCACGGAAATTGGCGGCAGGCGTCGAGGGAAATTAGTCATCTCGGAAAATTACGTTACTGGTCGAGCCGGTTTATGAAGTTTATTAGAACGTTTTAGAGTTTTTACTGCGTTCACGCTTTCATCGAAATAATTATGCTATGATTTACATTTTATACATCTCGGAATTTAAACTTTGAGGTAGTTTTCTATCGAAATATATTAACAATTTAAATTAAAATTTAATTTATTAGGGAATACAGGGAATAAAGGCAAGAGGCCTTAAAAATATCGTTCGGTTAGAATTTACATAAACAATATTTTGATTGAATACATGATCTTTTATTGTTTCGTTACACAGAACTTAACACAAAACTGCTTTCTAAATGATTTCTTCTACAAATTTACTAAATACAATAATATCAAGAGACGTGGTATTTCAGTGGCTAAGCGCTCTTTAAGTAAGCGAACAACCCGGGATCGATCTCCGCTGGCACCAATGGAGTTGTTAATAGCAATTTTAAGTGCTGATTTACTACGTGCACGGCAGTGAAGGAAAACATCGTGAGGAAACCTACATGTTTGAGAAACTAAAAACAATTTTCAAGACATGTGATATTTCCTTGTCCTAAAACTCTTTAAGAAATTGGGTGAGGCCTGAGCCCAGTAGGCTGTAACTATCGCTTCTTTTGTTGTAACTAGCACTAATTCTACCGCAAGTGCAGTTGCATGCAAGCCATAATACTCCAAATGTGATAAAAATCCGTTATTTCCTTGCATATTTGCAATGTATCGCCAACATAGCTTCAGTGCCTTCTCTGTGGCTTCTCCTCTACTCACAATTACTCTGCACCTGCAAATATGTGTCATTAAAAAAAATACAATCTATATTACCACCAAGGCAATATAATAAAAATGAAACAAAACAGAAACTGTACAAAAAGTTTATTGTTACGTCTGCTGTATTAAACTAAACATGTATATTAAAGTGAATGATTTTCCATAAACTCCAATGTTTCGAGAACAAAACACGGTCACGGTCACAGCCAGCAAATCCCTCCATGAACTATGTACATAAACAATGAAATTCAATTTCAGTTGGCAAGACGTTTAACAACAAAGTGTTTGTAGAGCTTTAAGGCAGCTCTTTACGTTGGCCAACATACTGGCGAATGTGTTAGCCAACAACGATGGCCATCGTGTAGAGCGGGTGTTTATGCTACTTTGGTACGTATTGGAACGATGGCCCACAAGTTGGCGGTTGCGGTTTTTTACAAAAGATCAAAGGGTTGTGGCAGAGTATTGGCCGCCGCGTCCACACGTTGGGCGCACGTTCAGTTTGCTACGAGCTCCCGGAGAGATTGCACGCACCTGATTTAAATTTTATATGCCCGCATCATAACTAGTGTCTACATAACGACAGTAACAATGACCAAAGAAAACACTTTTCGCTTTATAGAGCCCTACCAAGCCGAAAATTGTTTGTGAAACACAAGTCTTTTTAAAAAAAATGTTACCCCCACACTAGGATTTTCTCCTGTATCGTGGAGGCAGTTTAGAAACATAAATTGCATAAGGACAAACATCCAGACCCGGAGAAATTATGTGCAGGCTAAACAAATACTTGTTCCGTGCGGGTTTCGAACCCGCGGCCCCCAGGGCCCTCATTGCTAAGACACTACGCCACGGAGCCGTCAAGAAATAAAATTTCTTTTTTTCCATTTCTTTTTGATCACCCTTTTCTTATACACATTTACGTTGTAGTGATTGATGTATTAATTTATTTATTGATGTATTAATTGATTTATTGATGTATTAATGCTATGAGACTAGGTAGGATACTAAAATCATGTTTTTACTGTCTTTATTATTCCCTATTAGTTACTTTATTTCGTTAATAATACTTTAATTTTTAGCTACGGAAGAGCGAAGTCACCTGTTACAGGCATTATTTTGCTTACTAGGTGACCTCGATCATTGATCGTATAATGTAACTTTAATGTTTGAGGAAATAAATTATTTATTATTATTAAGTTTTGTTCTATAATTATATAATAACCCTTTTTAAAAAGGTTTTGTTTAATAAAATTTTACAACAGTTTAATAGACAGGTTTCGAATATTTTCCAGGCCTTAGTTGTAAAAGTGTTAATTATACCTATGCCTAGGTGTGTTAATGTTTATATAGTTTACTTAACTGTATAACGTTAGTGTATAATAAAGAAGTATTAAAAATTTATATTAAAAATATTAAATATTAAAAATAGTGAAAATTAAATATAAAATAGTGGTATGCTGTGAATAAATAAACCGCAGCAGCCGTTAGCGCTTCATTAATCATTTTAATAAATTCGTGCGCACATTGGCCTGAACCGAAGCAAACTGAACGACCTTCCAACGTGTGGACGCGATCACAAATTCTTGGCCAATATCTTTGCCAACACATTCGCCACTATGTTGGCCAACGTGAAGAGCCGCCATTAAACAACATTGAATAAGAAAAGGCTTAAGATAAGACTTTGCTCAGCGTAATAATATTTTGATGTACTAGTTAATAAAATTTATTTATGTAGGTACATACTTCATTTATTTTTAAACTTCGAACAATGTTATTTGTGTATAAAAGCTTTTTACCTATATGTTTTTTTATCAGTATTACTCAAACACTGCCTCACATCTGGCTATTTATTGTAGAAAGAAGAGTTCTACATGCAAGTAGACGGAGTGGCAATGGGCTCACCTGTATCTCCCGTAGTCGCCGACATATTCATGGAGGACTTTGAGGAGAAAGCCCTTCTTACTGCTCCTGTAAATCCAAGATTCTACAGGCGGTACGTAGATGATACTTTCACAATTTTACCATCTGACAAAATAACTGCATTTTTAAACCACCTTAATTCCATAAACCCTAACATACAATTCACAATGGAGTTAGAGGCAAACAATACTTTAGCTTTCCTAGATGTTTTAGTCATCCGAAATCCTGATAACACTATTGGTCATACTGTGTACAGAAAAAATACCCACACCAACCGATATTTAAATGGTGAATCGCATCATCATCCTTCACAGTTAGCAACCGTGGGAAAATCTTTGTTTCAGAGAGCACGTCGAGCAAGTACTGCAAGACAACAAGCTTCGGGTCCCGCGCCTACGTCACAGTGACCAAGTGAAGCCAGCCTCAATCGAGCGTGTGCCTGCTGTACTACCCTATGTCAGAGGAGTCACAGACAAGGTTGGCTACATCTTGAAGCGAGCTTCCTTTAAAACATACTTCAAGCCGCTGAAGAAGATTGGTCAATTTTTACCATCCGTCAAGTGTCATATCCCTCTACAAGATGCAGGAGTGTACAAGCTGTATTGTGAATGTGGTCTCTCGTACATAGGACAAACAAAAATATCTATAAAAACCCGCGTTAAAAAACATATAGCTGACGTGAAGCACCGACGTATCGGGAAGTCTGCAGTTTGTGAACATGTTCAAGATCGTCCCCGCCATTACATTAGATTTGATAGACCACAAATCCCCGCAAAAGAACACCGATTCCTCCCAAGGATGATTCACGAGGCTATTGAAATTAAAAAACATCCTAATTTCAATAGAGAAGATGGATGGGTGCTGCCATCAGCTTGGGATCCCATAATTAATAAAATCAAATCCAAACCCAAGTATACCACTGCTAGACTTCAAGATACTGTAAGCTCATTCTGCGTAAGTCGAACCAAAAATTAATATAAAAAAACTGAAGGTTAACTATGACAGCAGGACGTCAAGTACCTCAGTCCTCCGTGACCACGCTGGAAAGCACCCGAAACGTGGGAAATAAAAAAATAAGTTAATATACGCGATTAAATCCGTAAAATTAGTTTTATTTAAATGTGTAGTGCTCGCGTAAATATGAGAAATCATTATGACATGACGTTAATGCAATAATATAGTATAATGAAGCTACTCTGATCATGGAGCAGGATGCTGTTCCTAGCAACGCCCTGTTATTAAATACATTTTATATTGTATTCATTTAAATATAATTTAATGAGTAACAAATAATTTTATATAATGTAATTTTATGTTCACGTATACTCGCACGCACATTAATATATCATAGATAGATAGATAAATTTATTGCATTTAAACCTAAACTTGTTACAATAACGGAAAACTTATGAACTACAAATGGTGGTCATTTCGCTTTAAGCGATTTCTTCCTGACAACTGAACCAAACGTGAAAGTAAATTGTAATTTTACATTACTTCAATGTTACGAGTATCACGTTATCTACGATATTTTTTATAGTATAAGTGAACGAGCACTTAGTTCACCTGATGGTTAGTGGATGCTGTTGCCATAGACATCTACATCTATACTCGATAAAGAATAAAATGCAGACGCGTTGTCACCCTGAGGACTAAGATGGAAGCCTCGTTTCCAGTAAAAGGGTCCCTGGTTCTCTACATTTCGTACAAAACACTGCATCAGTATGTTCCTATAATACGCTTGTATTATGTGATATTTTAAGTGCCTCCTAACCTTTTTTTAAGAGCCTTACGAAGTTACAATATCAGAGAGTATTAAGGCATCATCGATATTAAAAGCAATATACACAACCGTATTCAAACTGATCATACAAAAAATGTTTAAGTGCATTTCAACGTAACATTAAATAACATAGAGATATATTAAGTATCTAATTAGATATATAATTTGCACCTCCCAACATTAGTCCGCAGTATTAAGTCCTTAATTTATTAACAAATACCGTCATCGTCACCTCATCTAATAGAAATTCCGTGCCCCTGGGTTCGTCACCCTATTTCTTATAGAATGTGTCGTATAAGGCGATTATAGGAAATGTCAGTTACATCATATAGCTATTTTATTTTTTTTAGGAGGAGGTGCAAAGGAGCATGCAGCTCACCTGATTGTAAGTGACAACCGCGGCCTATGAACAACTGCAACACCAGAGGAATTGCATAAGCCGGCATTTTTCAAAAGAATAGGCTCTTTTCTTGTAGGTCCCTAAGTCGTATCGGTCCGGAAAAATCTCTGTGGTAGTCGATTCTACGATAAAATTGTGCGAGGAAGAAAACTTCTTCTAAAACGCACAGTAGTGGACTGCCAATCATCCAGATGGTATGGACAAAACTGGCGAAGATCCAGCAAAGAGATGGGAATAGTATTCCATGTGAGGCTGAACCTGCGCCTTGTAAAGTTGCAAGCGGTGTGCCGGAAATATTATCCCGCTCTGCTCATCACGCAATTTTTTAGTTTTTTTTTTAGAGGCCAATTTGGCCTTCTCTTACAAGTGACCACAAAATTGCACGTCACTTGATGTGTCGACGCCGAGGATTCCAATACTGACTGAGGCACAGAGGGTAGTGCCCTAAAACTGAGGAGGTACAACAAAAGGGTTCTTTTTAGCGGTAAACGCGCATACTTGTGTCGTCAGGGTATTCAACTGGATTAGATTTAGTCGCCCCGGGCCAAGACTTAGTTCAACAAAGTCTCTACTTCAGACACAAGTGTATTCTGTTACTTTTTGACTTGAAATATTGGCACAGTTGTAGTAGTATAAAGCATCATCAGTGCTGTTGTTCGCATAGAAATGAATTTTACCGGTTTACATCATATCATTGGTATGCAGAAAAACAGCGTTGGTGATAGCACGCAGCATTGTGAAACACCAGTGGGCTTGGAATCGAAGCATGCACTGTTTGCTACGACCTTGATGATCCAATCTGCAAGAAAACTAGTGATCCACATGCAAAATTTCTCAGGAAGCCCATAGGAAGGAAGGTTTGAAAGAAGCGCTTTGTGTCAATCCTGATCGTAGGCTTTCGGTATGTCCAAACTTAAGGCCAACGCCTCCCCCCTTGGACTCTACTGCCTCCACCCATCTATCTCTATCGGTTCTCCATCTGTAAGATAACCCAGAAGATACCCAGAAGAGCAACCCCGACGGAAACCGTACTGACAGTCACTAATCAGCTGGTGATCCGCAAGGTACCTAATGAGCTGGCAGTTAATAATTCTTTATATTTTTAAGAAAAAGGACGTGATAGCAATAGGCATGAAGTTGGTCGGATCTGAGCGGTTGCCTTTTTTAGGGATCGGGTGCAACAAAGCTATCTTACATGACTTCGAGACTAGGCCTAAGAAGTAAGAGTACCGTAAAGGACGCGTTAAAACCAGTGCCAACTCCAGAGCACACGTCTTCAGCACGATAGGTGGGACTCCACGTTAAACGGGAACCAAGCCATTCAGTGTGGTGGGCATTAAAATCACCGAGCATTACGATATCTGCGGATGGGACCAGTTGCAGCACGGAGTCTACATCCATTTGGACGTGGTCGATGAGTCCAATCTATGTCGGCGTTACCGCTATGGGACCTATAGAGGCACCCGTATACGCGGGGAGGTCGTCCTCATCTACGTGCAGCCATAGGATGGACAGGTCCGTACCTTCAAGACTGCCGAAGAGTCGAAAACAGATGTCCTCTCTGACGTATACGCACCCTTCGGCCCGGGGCACAAAGGAATGTTCTAATTTGTACCACGGGTAGAAGATATACGAAGTACCAGCCGGAGTGGACACCTGTGTCTCGGTTAGAAAGAGCTTTGCCATCTTCAGGTGGTAGGGGACAGCGTTAAGGTTTGTATGAAGTCCCCTGATGTTACAGAAATTCACGGATAGCGTGGCAGGGGTCGCCTTTGCTTTATTGCTCCGTTTGCTCGTAGTAGTTTTATTCTTGAGCAGAATTTCGCCCCTCCCCTCCAGAATATGCAGGGCAACCTGAGCACCCATGCTCAGTTAGATTAGGGTAGCTTGGGTGTGAATGCTCAGCAAGGGATTCTCCGTCACCAGGCGTGGTTGCTGTGGCCCATATGTATTAACATCTATCCTCGATTACAAAAAGTAAAGTTTTAAAAAAGGGTCTCACCATACGAAACACGGTAGCGTTATACTGCTATTTTACGCTGATAATCTGTATTACCCCCCTGGGGTAATGTTTTCTTTAACCCCGCTACAATTTTAAGGGTCACCCTAAGGGGATCTGGGGGGGGGGGGGTATTGGACCTTCGGCCACCTGCACTTGCCAGGAAAAACGCTGGAAGTAAGCTTTAACTTCACGCTGGTATTCTGTGGGTTTGCTGATTTTGAAGATGTAGATACTACGCCTGCCAGTACGAGGCAGCCTTTGGAAGGTCGTTTTTCCTGTGGTTGTTAATTTGTTGACAAATAGTTTAACTAATTAACAACCACTAGAACAATGAAGCAGTCGGACTTTATGCTGCCCATATACGAGGGGGTATTTGAGTTCTAAGTTCAAATATCGCTTCCATTTTCCTCTTTTCTTCTATATTCATTATTACCTGGCACCCTAGGTAATAAGAAATCCCACAATTAGATTTCTTACAAATATTAGGATAACTGATAAAATTAATGACATAAATTTACACATTATTTTCCAACTTAATTTAAATTTACGTGTTTAGTGTGACAGTTAATTAGAAACCGTATTCCACATTCTCATTTCTGTCATTCCATTTTAACACCTGTCATGCTATTTAAGCAAATTGAAATATTAAAGCAGGCGTGAAGTTTACGAAGAAAAATGTGAAGCGATGTGTGGGAAACATTTTGAACAGCGTAAATTTGCCGTTATCATCTACCGTATTTAGTCTTGAACAAGAAAATTAATAGATGAATTTAACGGAATTATAATGTGTTAGTAAATTAAATTTACGTTATATAGTAAATTTTATAATCGAAAACTTCTCCTGATAGTATGTATATGTAATGCTATAGCCCGTGGATACTTACACCTTAATCTTTAATTAAGAATCAAATAGCACATATGTTATCGCGTCTGAAGCTATTAAGATCCGATTCCTATAATAAAGTTTCGTTTACCGTTCATTTACTTAGACACGACTTGCATGTAAAACTAGTTTATATTACAAACTAAATATAAGTTTAGCAGCTTAATAGTACCAAATATTACGAAGAAAATATATTTTAGAGCCGCTGATAACTTTGGAATTTTTGATTATTTATAACATTGATATTTTTCCTATAGATGAGAATTAGAATTATATTAGATTAGATTCGAATAATTTTATTCAATAATGATTTTTATTTCTTATAGAAGAGGGGGCAAA